TGAATTTGAATGTTAATATTTAGTTGATCAATCAAACAAGTTAAGCTTCAAGCCTCCTTCCCCTGGTTGGGCTTTCTAGCATACAACACATTTCAATTGAGGTCGTACTTCAAGCAGTTAAATCTCCGTTGCAGTTCTGATAATTCTGGTGGATGCCAGATTATTATTCTCCTGAGTCCTGAGTCTCGCCATTATGTAACCATACAATCTTTGTACCCTTTCTTATATTTATATCAATTCTTCTTGAAGTCTATTTCAACATATGAAACTAGCGAATAACACTATATAATTGGCAACTGCATTAGCTAATATTTTATTCCTTGATTCCCCCGTTGGTGTCAGGATTTTTTTTATTACTCAAAACAACTCCAAGGATGTGTTGTGAGCAATGGAGAACTGTTGCTTTCTACTAGACCTAGTTCACACATGGCTTTGGTTGTTTGATGGAGGTTATTTTTCTTTGTGTTCTTGTGCAGCTAAAGGATTCTTTAAAACTCTTAGAGAAATGGTTCAAGCGATTTCCTCACTACAAGGGACGCGATTTGTATCTAACTGACGAGAGCTATGCAGGTTTAAGAATATTAAATAACCCTTATCAAGATCAAAAGCTTTACTTTCTATTATCATGACAAGAAGTTTGTAAAATGAACGCACATCTAAACCACTTTGATTCTTACAAATATATATATGGAACAGTAATAGATTCAAAGATTGGGATACAATCTTTAAGTCCCTAACTAAATGACATTATGTGTATCTTGGATGTGATGGAAAACCCAGATCCAACTATCTTCTTGCTGCACCTTATGCTATTTGGCAATAGGCATTGCATCATATCTCCTAGTTGAAATTGGCAAGTCATTGATCAGATATAACAGATACAAGGCCTTGATATTTCCTTATCATGCGCATGGTATCCTTTTTCTCCTTTTGTCAGGATCAGTTTATGAAGTTAGTGATCCCATATTCTCTTTTTACCGCGTAATCACCAACTTATGTGCATTTTCATCTCCCCTGACACCCCTAGTGAAGAAACCGCGATGAATTTTGGTAAAGAACAGGTTTTGGAAGTGCAGGAGTGTGTTTGGGAGCTACGCGGTCGACCGCGGCGCAAGGCCGGTTGACCGCGAACGTGCACAGACTCTGGGAGGAGTCTGGATTTGGCGCGGTCGACCGCGAGACCCTGTAGGACATTTTTGGGCTCTGTCGTTTGTCGCGGTCGACCGCCAGACCCTGTAGGAGTTTCCAGGTTCTGTTTGTTGGTCGCGGTCGACCGTGGCGGTCGACCGCGTAACGGGTCATGCCCAATTTTGGTTTCCTGTTCTTATTTGATTTTGGTGTTTGTTATAAATACCAACATACGATTTAGGGTTTCTTTGGCTTGGATTGGAGATTGGTTTGTGGATATTGGAGCACAGAAAAGAAGAGTTTTTCTGAGCAATTGTTTGAGGGTTTATTTGGAGAGATTAAAAGATTTTTTGGTGAGATTAGTTGATTGCTTTGAGCGTTTTGTAATCTCAGTTTGTACTCTTCTTTTCTATTAGTGAAAACCCAATCCCCTTCTTGCCCCGTGGACGTAGGTAATTTGCCGAATAACGTAAATGTTTGTAGGAAAAATTGCAATGAAGAGAATAAAGAAAATTGATTTGTATTCCTTTGATCTCGATTACAACTTGATTACAAAAGAGAGGAGAAAGAAATTGGTTCTTCCTCTTTGTTTAAAACTGGGTTCTTCACGGTGGCGATGGAGTGCCTCCCTCGAGTGCTTGCGTCGAGTTTGCTCTCCGTTGACGATCCGAATATCTTGATTCACTGGAACGATATCTTCTCCTCACGATTTGACGTTGTGGAGAACTTGCGTGGCAAGTTTGAGAACTCTGAACGAGTTTAGAAGAACTCTGTAAAAGAGTTGATTTGAACCGAAGATCGGTTAATAAGCCAAGGACAGAGGCTCTCTGTTGCTGAATTTGAAGATAATCTTCGTTGAAGGATGATGTTGATCTCCTCCGAAGTTTTCCCAATGATTTCCCCTCTTGCTGCCAATTCTCAGATCCCAAAAGTGCCAGCCGAACCAGAAGCCAAGCACCTGAACTGAATTGATCTTCAGTTATTTATAGAGGATTAAGGGGGGGGGGGGGGGGCACCCCCCTCTCCTAAGTGGGGTGTAACCGCCCCCAAATCGTGGGAAACGGTTTTAGAACCGT